CAATTGGGCTGCAGTCTGGCCAATTCTTGAGATGCCCAAAAGGCATCTTCCCTATTGTCTCTGTGCAAAGTGCTTGTTTGCTCTTTAATAACACCAATCTCTTCAGCAAGGACATCTTCCTTTGCCCCAATTGTACAAAGCACTTTTCTGGCCAAACTGCCAAGTTTTTCAATTTTTCCTGTTCTGGCATTTGCTCATGATGATCACTGAAAACCTGGTTAAAAGCAGCCAGCAGTACCCCTGTCTCTGCAAAAATGCTGTAATGCTTTGAAATTTCCTCTGATTAATTAATTCATCACCTTTAAATTCAGTCTCACACAAAGTCTGAGGATCTGGACCAAATATATACAAGTTCTTTGACAGAATGTAACACATGTGACCTGTACTCTAACGTAACACATGTGGCCTCGACTCTAGTTCCTCTACGAGTCCTTGTTCCCATCTGGAACCTCATAAGCACAATCCTATCAGCATTCTGGCCTTCCAAGATCCTGCCAGAACAGTCCACTAAGCTCTGCTTACAGCATTCCGAAGCTTCTCCAGCCGGCCTCTCCCAAATTTTCCAAACTACCATTCGGTGTAGTCAAAGCAATGACCTCACTTTTCAGTACCAATATTCTGTGTTAGTCAGCTTTTCTTCACTGTGACCCTAACACCAGACAATAATAACCTAAAGGAGAAAAGGTTTATTTTGGCTCAGGGTCTCAGAGATTTTAGTCCATGATCAGCCAGCTTCATTTCTCTACCCTGAGGTGAGGCAGAACATCATGGCAGAAGAGCATGATGAAGGAAACCTGCTCTGCTCAAGACAGCCAGGAAGGGCAGGGGAAAAGAAGGGGTGGGGGAGAAGGGAATCACCACATAACCTTCCAGGGCCTGCCCCTGTGACCTAATTCCTCCAGCTAGGTCCCTCCTCCTACACTATCCGTCACCTCCCAAGAGTCCATTCAGGTGATTAATTCATCAAATGGATGGATCCACTGAAGAGGTTGGAGACCTTCTGATCCGATCATTTCCTAAAAGCCCCTCTAAACATGGCTGCACTGGGGACCAAGCCTTCAACACATGAGCTGCTTTGGGGGGAAATTCCAGATCGAATTCATAACAGGCCCCTAGTGCCACCACAATTGTCTTTGCTTCCCCCAAGGAGGATGCTAGACTGGTCACAGGGCCACCTGTGATCTCCTAGAGAGGGGGATCAGGAGAGAATGACTGGAGGCACAGTTCAGAGGACTTCCTTCCCGACTCCTGGAATCTGTCAGGGCTCTTTCAGCTACAAGTCACTGGAAACCTGACCTAAAGCCATTGTGTTGGCTCATGTACCTGCACGGTTCAGGGCAGATTTAGCTTCAGAAGCAGCTGGATACAGCTGTTCAGATAATGTTGTCAGAATTACTCCTGTCTGTCTCTCAGTTGCTCCTCCTCAAGGTTGACTCATTCTCATTTCTCTTTTGGTCACTAGGTGCCTTCTAGCAGCCCCTGAACCCACATCATTTTGCATTCTTTGTCCAGAACGCCCAGCCGAAGGTCTAATGCTCATTTTTTTTAAAAAATATTTATTTCTTAGTTCTCGGCAGACACAACATCTTTGTCGGTATGTGGTGCTGAGGATCGAACCCGGGCCGCACGCATGCCAGGCAAGCGCGCTACCGCCTGAGCCACATCCCCAGCCCCTCTAATGCTCATTTTGATTGGACCACCTTAGGTTAAGAGTCACTGCAGCCCAATCACCATGGGCCAAGTAGAGAGGGCCGTCCAGACCATGTGCAGCAAGAGCAGTGTTTCCTGGATCCCATGGAAAATCCTGGTTGTGCCTTGTAAAGAATGTTCCTATTAAAGTCTCTCCATTTCCCTTTCCCAGGAGTATTCCCTACAAGAAGGAATGGAGTCTTCCAACATCTTAAGGAATGCTTGCAAGGAAAAGTGATAAATTGTTGTTGTTTTTTTTTTTAAGGAACACATATGATATAATCATTTAAGATATTTATTTAAGGACTGAGGAGTAGCTTGGTGGTAGAGTGCTTGCCTAGCATAGGCAAGACTCTGGGTTCTATTCTTCGTATAGCAACAACAATAACAGCAACATTTATTAAAAAGGAAGTAAAATACTACACTGAGTCTGCAGGGAAACTTTTGCATCTGAGACCACGGACCTGCATTTAGATTTGAGTTCATGGTGGCCAAGGCAAAGAAGAGCCCCAGTAACTCAGAGCTCCTATTGGCTGAAAGAAACAGATACACAAGCCAGGCATGGTAGTATGTAGCCGTGATCCCTGCTACTCAGGAGGCTGAAGATGGAAGATCATAAATTGAGGCCAGCTTGGGCAACTTAATGAGACTCTGTCTCAAAACAAAATAAAAGGGCTGAGGGTATAAATCAGTGGTAGAGCACCCCTGGGTTCAATCCCACCCAGAAGAAAAAAAGAAAGCTAGATAGAGTAGATAGATAGATGGAGTAATAATTCTGTACTCAACAAAAGGATCTCACAAAGCAAAATGACAATGTCATAATTGTTGATTTTTAATGCAAGATGCTGAAATGTTCTTTTGTGCACCTCCTTATAGACATCCTCCTGCTGAGTAGACAGCATATCACAGATCACAGTTCAGGGAGCCAAGATTGTACAACCCACACCTGCTTTTGCAGGTTTATTCAGATCCAGGAAGGATGCTGAGAGAATCAGGGGAATGACTGGGTCATCACCAGGTCTTCAAAGCTTCTTGGACCATGGGGGGTTGCTCTGTCGATGATAGAACATTAGTGTAAGGGAGCAGTCTCTTTAGTAATTAATCAAGCAGCAGTGAGAGCAAGTGCAGGGAGCCTGCATTGATTGCTCACACATCAAACAAAATGGCGCCCAGCAGTTAGCTATGGCGGCCTGGGAGAGGCTTGCCAAATTGGATTAGCGAACCAAATGTCTGTTCTAATGCCTGAGAGATGGACGAGGCGCTTATTAAATGATCCACAGGCAGGGATGTTTCGAGTACTTAATCAACTCTTCATTTCCCTCCTCCAGGGAACAGGGAAGCCTCAGTGCCACCCATGGTGAGAAATTACCAATCCCTGCAGGATCTCTCTCCACCGTTTTCACTGCAAAGTGTGCATGAATCAGGAAAGGTGCAAGGAAGGCAGGGTAAGGGATTCGGCTGCAGGGCAGTGGAAGCTGCTTAGGTCTAGGGGCAGGAGAGCTTGGTGGGTACCAGTGCTGCATTTCCCATCTGCTCACTATGGGGACCTCCCTCCTCTCCGGGGCCCTCCAAGGGCCCCTCCCACTGATGAGCTGAAAAGTTCTCTGACCTAAGAAAGGGCAGCAAAGTGGCTTTTCCTGAGGATTTGCCTATGTGCAGCCTCTGTGTATGGTGGGGGAGGGGAGTGGGTGTTGTTCTCTTTTCTCTGTGTATCTTTAATTCAATCTCCCTGCTCCTACCTCCTGCATCCAGGGTGGAAATACTCCCTTCCATCCCCTCATCACCTCTTTCTTCTTTTCTCACTTAAGAAACAAATCTCAGAGCCAGAGACCATCAGAGGGGTGTCAGGGTTGCCCCTCCATTGGAGTCTTTGAGGCAACCCTCTCCATTCTTTGGCATGTCTCCCGGGTTGCTTTTACATGAGATTCCCTCTCCCTTGCCCCCCACTCCTTTTGTTCATTCTTAATTAGGTTTCCTTTTTTCCCTGGAAGGGGAATCAAGAGATTGGGGGAAGGGAGGAGGTTGTGGCTCAGTGGTGGAGCACTTACCTAGCAGGTGTGGGGCTCCGGGTTCAATTCTCAGCACCACATGTAAATAAATAAAATAAAGGTCCATGGACAACTAAAAAATATTAGAGAGAGAAAGAGAGAGAGAGACAGAGAGAGAGAGAGAGAGAAAGAGAGAGAGAGAGAGAGAGAGAGAGAGATATTGGGGGAGAGGATGCCATGTTAGACTTTGCACCAAAGCCCATCACTCCTAATTTCATGGTGACTTTGACCAAGTTGGCCCACGCTCTTCCCTGTGCAGTTTGAGAAACTGAGACCCCCAGGTGGGAAGGCCTTTGCCCCAGATTCCATGGAGATCTGTTGGGAATCCAGAATCTCAGAGAGCTTCTTCCCCCACATCTCTTACCTTAGTTCCACCAGCCTAAGCCAGGAGACTCCTGCCACCAGGGGCTTGGTCAGCAGGGACACTGGTGCGGTGGAGTCCAGGAGTTCCCGCACACACCCCTGGTGCTCTGCGTGCCAAGGAGTGCTTCCTCCCAGCCGTGTTTCCTGCGATTAGAGCGAGCTACCTCCTCCCACTAGCTGCAGGGGGAACCTGGTGGGTCCAGTTCACTTGGAGGAGGTCTGGCCAGCTTTTCCACACCCCTCCTCATTTAGTATAAACCTCAAAGCCAGCCAGGGAGATGAAGTCCTTGGGACAAACCCACACAAACCAACCAGCAAAGGTGGGAAAATGTAGCCCCTGTCAGTCTAACCCTTCTATCAAGGCTGAAGGAATCCTGCTCTTATCACCATGCTTTGGTAGAACCCTTCTTTCGCGCTGGCCACAATAGCTTTTTTTTTCAGACTCCCATATTTTTTTACCTTTGATGTTCCTGCTAACAGGAAGCCTCCTCACCCCCTCAGGTGATAAGGATGCCAGATGCAGCTTCTACTTCCCAACCACTCCAACTCCACAAGGATGAGGAACAAAGCAGTCAAAAAAGAGCATTGCTCTCCTCGGGCTCCAGCAGCCCCCTCCTTCCACACGGAAACATCAAAGGGGGGGTGTGTGCGTAGCGGGTGGGGGTGAGGGGGGTAGGGTGGCTATTCCCTGTCCTTCCTGGTAGGAACGAGTTTCTTACCTGATTTATTTACTGCCCTGGCCCTTTCCTCATCTTTCTGATTAATAGTTTAGTTGGGGGTTCTGGGAAATTTACATCCAACGGTTACCATAGCAACCAGCTCTCTTGCACCAGATCCCTTAGAAAATGCATTTGGGGCCCTCTGAAGGAGCTGGGATTTACAAGGATCTCGGCATATACCAGTGCAGAACGGGCAGGAAGATGTTCTGCTAACACAAGTAAGAATTATGAGCAGGATCTGAAATGTTCTCTTCTACACTATAAATCGATAAGCACGGTTTTAGTGCCTTCCCTCCTTCCTTTTCTTTGTCTTCCTTTCCCTGGGCACCCCTGCCCAGCAACCTTCTCCCTAGGTCTCCTGAAAGATAGTTCCCCAGAGGACAAAGACAGGACCACTGGGTGGAAGTCATGGGAGACACATTTCCTTTCAACAAAGGGAGGAATCTGCAGCAGGCAGAACCAGTTGAAGATGCAGTTAGCAGCCTGGGGAGGTGGCGATGTCCCCATTACTGGAGGTGTGAGATGGGGGCCTGCCAGGGGCTCTAGAGAGGATTGTGCAGAGGACAGGGGAAGGGTGGCATGTATGGGGGCTCCTGGTGGCTTCCAGGCCTGGGAAGGGGGAGTTGAACTGAGCCTACTTGTGGGAGCAGCTCTCACCTCCTCCAGTGAAGCAGGATGTCAGATCTGGTCACGTTACCCCTCCCTGGGTCCCTGGGACAGCTCAGTGCCCAGCACCCTGCCTGCTCACAAGTGAATGTCTGAATTCCTTGGGGTTTTATTAAGTAGGCGGGCACAATTTACAAACCATTTATGTATTCTTTTACTATGATAATAAAAAAACAGACTTTTAAGAGCACAGTCAAATAACAATCCCAACAGGGAATGAGAAAAAAAATGATGTTGCTTATAAAACTCCATCCCACGTGTGAAAGTCGTTCCCTGATTATAGCTGAGGCATAAAAGCGTTGGTCTTCTACAAATCAGGTGGGGATGAGGAGGAGGCTGCGTGGTCTAGGAGGAAGCCCTGCTGGGGCCAGCCCCCTTTCCCTGTGCCTCCACTTTTTCCTCTGTGAAATGGGAGCATGGAAACCTTCAGGAATGACCAACTGGCCTTCTCTCGCAGGCTGGCTCTGACTGATTGGCACAGCTCAGCTGAAGAGTGTGGTCATAGATTAGCAATGTCTGCCCTGGGCACCAGCGGGAAGGAGATGAGAGGCACATGGGCTCCATACTCATCGTCCCTGGATGAGGTGATCTCAGAGAGCCCCGATGGCTCTAGGTGCCCACACTTGATGGTTCCAGGTCACTTCAGCCATTTCTGCCTTGAGCCTTGGCTCTTCTTTCCTCCGGAGCCTGCAGAATGTCGAGGAAGCACCGACTTCGTTCCTTCACAACATCATCACATTTTCTGTTGGAAGCACCTTGTTCTGTACGCAGAACCCCAGGGCTTTCAAGGAGCAGCGAGGTGTCCAGGTTGGTCTAGGATAATATAGATTAATGGAGAAACGGAGGGTGTAGATTCCAAGGAGCGCTGGCCTGCAGCTGTTTGCAGAGCGCATGGGCAGACGCGGGGCTGTTGCAGTCGTTTGCAATGAGGACAGTGGACAAGCCACTGCAAGGAGCAGGGGATTATTCTGGGCACACAGCTGTGCTTCAGGGCTGAGACTCCTCTTTGGCAGCAAAAGGCTACACTCCCCAAGAGATAGAGACCTGATGAGGCCTTCCTGGGTGAAGCACCCTCTACTATTTCCCCCAATCTCCCTCCTTCCCCCGTGGCCCTAGTTACACTGTGCCATTTCTACTTGGAACACATGCTTTCTTAACCCCACGACTTTGCCACTACTGTTCCAGGCACCTGCTCTGGGCTTTTCCACCCAGCAGACTCCAGTGCATGCCTCCAGAACAGCCGCTAAGTGTCGATGCCTTCCCAGCCCTCTGGACCACACAGAGACCTGCGCCCCCGGCTCCTTCTCAGCACTGCAGTGCTGGCTGGCTCCTTGGTAAATCCCTACCTTGCTTGGCTCTGGGCGAGCCTGGACACAGAACGTGGTCATTTTGTCATTTTGAAAACAAAGCTAGCTGGGTCTCTGCTGAAAGCAGGAAATTTAGTTTCTATAACAACCATCTCCAGAGATCTCCTCTCAGCAGAGCCACTTGAGGGTAGAGGATAGAGCCCTTGGTCACATGGAT